TCAGGGATGGGGAGAGAGGGGGGTCAGGGATGGGGAGAGAGGGGGGTCAGGGATGGGAAGGGGGGGATCAGGGATGGGGAGAGAGGGGGGTCAGGGATGGGGAGAGAGGGGGGTCAGGGATGGGGAGAGAGGGGGGTCAGGGATGGGAGGGGGATCAGGGATGGAGGGTCAGGATACAAGTTCGGGGGGGGGTCTGTGGGTACAAACTCGGGGGTCTCTGGATACAAACTCGGGGGTCTGTGAGTGCAGACTCAGGGGGTCCTGTGGGTATAAACCCAAGGGAGGCTCTGGGTACACACTCAGTGTTCTGTGGGTACAAACTCAGGTTCTGTGGGTAGAGATTCAGTGTTCTGTGGGTACAAACTCGGGGGTCTGTGAGTAGAAACTCAGGTTTGTGGGTACAGACTCGGAGGTCTGTGGGTACAAACTCGGGGGTCTGTGGGTACAAACTCAGGTTTGTGGGTACAGACTCAGTGTTCTGTGGGTACAGACTCGGGGGTCTGTGGGCACAGAGTCACAGTCAAGCCCTTGCTTAGGGCCCGCTCAGGACCCTGAATTCCATGTGTTTTATGTCCCGTGCCCCTGTCTCTCGGAGTACTTCTGTCATTGGCCTGGAATTCAGCTCTGAAAGCTTCAGAGATTCAAAAGATTCTGAAAAAGATGTAAAATATTCTGGAATTGAGTGGTTCCCCCTGTACTGCTGCTTGCAGAGACAGCAGGAAAGCTGCTGGAAAGGAAAGCACAGGTCGTTGCAGAAATTAGGTGTCATTTCTGTCTCTGACCCCTCCACCCATTTACATTTCCTCAAACAGTCAATGACAGAAGGGAAAAGTGCCAGGGAGGGAGAAGCCAGGTCTGGGATGCTCTCCCTGCCCTCCCCACCAACCCTTTGCCCTCCGACCCCCCGAGGCTCCGGCTTTTCTCCTCCCCACAGTCACAGAAACACTGGAAATCCCTGCCCCTGGTTCCAAACCATCCCTGGTGTCACTGGCACAGGCTGATCCCTGCCCAAACACAGGCACTCCCTGGGGCTGGGCTCCTCCAGGGGCATTTCCTGGGATGTTGGCCCCGTTGCCATGGCAGCAGCTCTTGGCACCTCCCGGGATCCAGAGTTTGGGGTGCCGGGATCCGTTTCCAACAACGTGTGTCTCCTCCTTGTTCCTCCATTCCCACGGGTGGGGAGAGCACTTATCACACATTATGACATGGCTTAAGCCCTTTTGGACTTTCACACATCAAAAATTCCTTTTTATTTACCATTTTTTTTTGCTTTTGAGAAGCTGTAGCCACACGGATTCTCTCTGGTTTGTGAATATTTAGTGATTTCCCCCTCACCCCAAACATAGAGGGATGTCAGACCTAAAGGCAGGGGGAATTAAAGATGCAAAATCAGAGGATAATTAAGGTTGGAAAAGACCTCCAGGATCATCAAGTCCAACCCTGGAAGTCAAGGCCTGATTTTCAAACCATTTACTTGCAGAAAGACCCCCCCAAAATGCAGCAGGAGAAGTAGGAGCCTTGTCTCGACTCTTGACCTGAGTTAGGCCTTCAGCAAATGTGGGAAGCTGGGTGCCATGGGATTCCTGGGCTCCTGGGGAATCAGGATCAGCTGCCCAGGTCTCCCTGTTCCTGGTCTGGTCATGATTCCATGGGAATTAACCAAGTCCATGTTTACCTGGAGATTAAATCAGTCCCAGCCCCGGGAATGTGCTCCGTGACCTGAGGCAGAGATGGAGCAGAGGAAAGTGTGTCCTGTGACCACCCCCATCCCTTCCCTCTGCAGCATCCCAACCCTTCCCTGCCCCTGGAGCTGCTCTGGGATGTTTTCCCCCCGTTGTTGCAGCAGCTCCCTGCTCCCAGAGCCGCTCCCACCGAGGGCTGGGCACCGTCACCGTTCGCTGGGAGTTTGGCTCTGGCTGAGCCGCCCTTGCCAAGGAACCCGTGGGGAACTGTGAACTCCCAGCACCCTGGCACGGTGCCACCCGTGCTATTTATAGCCCGGGAAGGAGAGTCAAGAGCTGCTTGGAGCTGCTGATTTGAGGAGCAGCTGCCTCTGGAGCAGAGTTCCCGTGGCTGGGGACAGATCTCCGTGTCCCGCCTCCACCTGGGCCACTTCCTTCCTCCTCCCCTGCCCATTTAAAGCCTCCTGCAATTCCTGCGTTTCCCCACCAGGAAAGGCTGTGTGGGCCAAGGCACCTCCTTGCAGGATCTGTTACTTTGGGGAAAATCAGGCATTTTTAGTGTGTGGAGGTCGGGGAACACACTGACTGACTGTCTCCCATCTCTTTGGCAGCTGGTGTATCCTCATGACTTCAGACTGACAGAGAAGGAGGTAACAACTATTTATTCCCTTTTTTTCTCCCGTTTTTAAGCCACTCAGCAGCTCTGATGGGGGGATTCTTACTGGGTGTCTTGGGGTTTTTTGCAGAAAACGAGTATCTGCTACTTGTCCTTCCCAGACTCCTACTCAGGTAGGTGGCAGCAGGGGTGAAGGAAATGGGTCCAGGATGGAAGGGCTGAGTTATCCCCTGGGATACAGCCCAGGCTGATGGGCTGCATCCTCTACAACCGGGGTTCTGGTGCCCTCAGGGCTGAGCAAAGAGGCTTCTTGTCCTGTTGGTTGATGTCTGCACACAGAATCTGTGATCTGCTGGCTGGTTCCTCTATAAACTCATGCACTCCTGCTTCCCCTCTGCCAGGGAAAGGTCCAACAGAAGCAGGAAGGGTTCCCTGAGGTGGCAGCTCTTGGCTCTCACATTCCTGTGTTTGTGAGTGCCCAGTGAGGAGCAGGAGCTGGGAGAGGACAATTCCACAGCAAAAGTGTTCCCGAAGCCTGTGTTTATAAACCAGAAAGGGGACAATAAGAATTAAGTCTCAGTCCAAGCCTGGTTATTTAAGGGTGGTTCCTGACTATTGGTTTCCTACAGCTTCCATGGGCTTATGGAATGGGTTGGGTGGGAAGGGATCTCAAATATTGTCCAGTGCTACCCAGGGACACCTTCCACTGTCCCAGGTTGCTCCAAGCCCTGTCCAACCTGCCCTTGGACACTTCCAGGGATCCAGGGGCAGCCACAGCTTCTCTGGGCACCCTGTGCCAGGGCCTCCCCACCCTCCCAGGGTGCAACATTGTCCTGACGTTTCCTTCCCTCCCCTCCTGTCTCGTGCTGTCTCTGGGGGGTTTCTTTATGCTGTTCCTCTCTGTTTCAGCTCCCTGCAGCCCCCCCTCCCTGTCCCACGGGAGCCATGCCCAGCTCTCCTGAGCCCTGTGCTGTTCTCTGTCCCAGGTGGCCTTGGGGACACCCAGTTCAGCTTCCGCCTGCGGCAGTCGGGGGGCCCCAGGACCTCCCCGTTCCAGGACGACGGTCGGTACAACCGGGAGGCCCCCCTGACGCTGCAGGTCGGTCCTGGCTCGGGGGCACAGCCACGTATTCCATGGATCTGGGGGCTCTGGGGGAAGTGCCCGTCTTCTCTGGCCGTGGGAACGGTCAGGAAAGGAGGAGGATTTCAGGAGAGGGATTTACTGCCACGTCAGTGCTCACAGAGAGCCAGAACGGAGGTGGAACTGTGATGGGAGAGGGAACTGGACCGGGGGGACCCAGTGTGCTGGGAAATGGAGCTGAGTCAGGGGCACTCCCAGCTGTTTTGGGAGAGGGAACTGAATCCCAGGGATTA